ATTATATAATAAATGATATTTAATGGTGTTTTATCATATTTTGTCATGTTAAGCTTGTAGCAAATGATATGGCTGTAAGCAGAGTTCATGAGCAGTTGTTAATAAAAAAATAAATAAAATAGATTGTATATTCATTTAGACATTAACTGTATAAGTAGGGCAGTGTGCAAAAATGTTGTAATGATGACCTTGGGTAACCGGCTGCCAGCCATAGAGGTAATAAAGTTTGATAAGAATTGTCATAGTAGAGCGCTAACTTTTATTGGTTTATGTATATTGAAAACATTATTCTGCCATGGTATATATTACATACAATTGTAATTTGTCAGTGATCTAGTCCAAAATAAAAATTATTCAGTCTGGCACAAAAAGAGTACAAGTTTAGTTTTGTTGGTAGAGGATGTATGACTCATTGGGCACAACATATGATGCCACAAAAACACAGCTGTCATCATTATTCAAAGAAATAAATACTACATGCGTTAATTATCGTGTATAGTATAAATAACACCAATGCACATGTATCTTTCGGAAATACAAAACAAAGTATTAAGGCATGTTTTTGTAGCAATAATTATCAAGTATACAGTATGGATGTGATGAATTGTTTGTTGAAATCACTGATCATATAATTGTTTATATTGTGCTTCACAAAGTTTAATTCCAAGGTTCTATGTTTTTGTCTATTTGACAGGTACAAGGAAAAGATCCTTCGGTGGACATAACACAAGACATCATTGAAGAATCTGAAGAAGAAAGATTTGAAGAGATTCCCGATGCCGCTCCCCCAATAGAATTACCACCTTGTGAACTTAGCAAACTAGAAGAAATCTCTGAACTTTTTAGCAGCGTGCTTCTTTCTCCTGTGCGGCGAGAAAAGTTAGCAATCGCCATAGAAAATGATAACTACATAAAGAACCTGCTGGAGCTTTTTCATATGTGTGAAGACTTGGAAAATCTTGAAGGCCTACGACACATCTATGAAATTTTCAAGAGCATATTTTTATTAAACAAGAATGCTTTATTAGAACTTATGTTTTCAGATGATATAATTATGGATGTAATAGGATGTTTAGAGTATGATCCCAACCAACCACAGCCAATAAGACACCGAGAGTACTTAAACACTAAGGCCAATTTTAAGGAAGTCATTCCAATCACAAACATAGAATTATTACATAAAATTCACCAAACTTATCGAGTCCAGTATATACAAGATGTTGTTCTGCCCACTCCATCAGTGTTTGAAGAAAATATGCTGTCGACTCTTAGTTCATTCATATTTTTTAACAAAGTGGAAATCGTTAGCATGATACAGGTAAGTTTTTCCCTTTTCTATATAATGTGATTTAGTCACACCTGACATGACATTTTTAAAGAAATGCTGATTTCACATGAAATTCTGTGAGTGGTTTTGTATTGTCCTCAAATGCTCTATTATTGTTCATTTCCACACACATTATAGATAGATTGGTCTAGCAAATATAAATGCTGCCAACCTTGTATGCTGCCCCTATAAATGAAGTAGGTCTTTCTGATTCCAAGATCATTTTTAAACATTAAAACTTTAAAAACATGCTGCTAATATGAAAGCTTTTCAGTCACCAGCCATGTTGTCTGAATTATCACTATTTGACCCGATATGCACACAGTGTATATTCATCTGAAATTCATCAGTCTCTGCAAATAATATATAATGAATATGAACACTGTCATGCAATAATTTATTAATGTTACCAACGTCTTCATGAAAAAAACCTTTCACACCATTGGCTAAAATAATAAATTTGATCAATTGCTACAATTACTATCTTTTGGTTTGCCTTAGGTTATTGGCTGAGAAAAATATAGTACATGTAAGAGCCCCTGTGACTGAAACTACTATATCCTTAACACTGACCAGTAATATCAGCAAAATCAATTCAATAATAAAATATTAATTTGTGTAGCTAAGTCTTTATGTATGATCTTATATTTTAGCTATTTTTCAATAATTCTTGA